GCAGGCCCACATAGCTAGACAAGACTTCAGGCTCTTCTGTTACAAGAAACATTGTTGGTCCAGCCTCTTGGATCAGATACTTCTAAATAGATATCAGATACCTCACTTCCAGAAGGAATCTGGGGTAACTTAAGACTTTGATGTAAATCCGTGTATAAATTTACCAGTATTCTTTCCCAAACCATGGGCACGTAAGGGCAAATCTAAATTACATTCTTTAGACCCAGAGAATACTTTCTGATCGGAACAGGACTAAAGACAACTGCTACGTTGTTTATATCATATGTTGGTCAAGGGTCAAGCTGTCTCTTCCCATTCCCTGTCAGTGGGTCAGATAGTGTATATAGAAGAGAGTTATAAAAGTTCTTCACTCTCTCTCCTCCTGCAGTTCTTAGAGTTCATTCTACCAGTGCAGTTGCTGCAACTGTAGCATGTGGTAGACATGTTCCCATTATTGAAATATGTAAATATGGAGTTCAGGTCACACTTTCTCTAAACAGTGTGCCTTTTTAGATTTGGCAGCCAGATCTGATGCACAGTTTGGCAAAGTGATACTTCAGTTGTTGTTGTTTAATTAGGACTCAGTGTTCCTACATCCACCTTTTACGTACTCCTTGCCAAATTATCCCAAGAGTGGGAATATTCAGAGGACTCTTGAAGGAAATGGAGGTTCCTTGTAACTGTAGTTCTTCAAGATGGACTCTACATATTTCCACTCCCTGCCCACCTTCCCCTCTTCTGTGGAGTTCCAATTAAGGTTATCACTGGATTCTGTAATGGGGTGGAAGAAACTGAGCTGCTTGTGTCACCAAGCCCCTTTGACAGCCATGCCCTCAGAATGGGCTAGAATGTTTAGGGAAGTGGGGAGAAGGGTATGTGAGCATTCCAAGAGTGTGAATATGCTGAGTCAATCATCAAGAACTATGGTTGCAAGTAACTAATCTTCATTTACTCTGTGTGGAAAATGGTCAAAACTTGGCCAAATTATACATTTTTGAAAAAACTCAGACTTGTAAGAGTTTGGAAGCTAAGTTTTCTGAAGATTCTTTATGCACTAAGCATGCTCCTGCTAAGGGCTGCAGGGCCTGAGCAGGACTTTTCATGCAATTGCTCCTCTTGGTATGGTGACCAGATGTCCCAATTTTATAGGGACAGTCCCGATTTTTGGATCTTTTTCTTATATAGGCTCCTATTTACCCCCCCCCCCATCCTGATTTTTCACACTTGTTGTCTGGTCACCCTACCTCTTGGCGTCCTGAAACACTATGGTATCAGGAACTGGGAGTAGGGGGATTCTCTTCACTGCTCTCATTGCTTCTACTTCTGGTGCCCAGGAAGCATGGGCGGGAGGGGGAGAAGCCTGTCTTGAATTCAGAGGGATGAGAAATGGGAGGGGCGGGAGAAAATGGGGTTGCAGGGTGGAAGGTTGCAGGAGCCAGAAAGTGAGGGAGGGAGGAGCTGGAGGGGGTTGGATAGGAGCTGCATGGGACAGGATATAGGTTGCACTTCTTAACTGAGTGCTTGACTCTGCAACTGTAACTATCTTTTAACATAGTCTTTTAGATGTAATAGATATTATGTTAACAGTATTATTTCTACATGACTGTACCCAGGGTCGTGAAGCATCTCCCCACCATCTGCCCATAGTGCGAGGAAGTGTTGTCTGTGCCTTCTGTGGGTCAGCTCCTTGAAATCACCAGCCTCTGACAATCCAATCACTGCCTTCCAGACCTCTTCAGGCTTTGCTGTCTCTGTACAGGGTAGTTCTAGGCATACATCAATCCCTGAGTCTTCTGAGCATTCCCTGTAGTGCCCAGCCCCTTATCCACTGAGCACTCAAAATTACCAGGCCTGCTGTCCCCAAAGGAACAGTAAACACCAACTTATTACTTATACCTTGCTAAACACTTAATCTTATTCACTATAAATAAATCTATGTTTATTGTTAAAGAACTGACATTCAAGTGAATAAGAATATTGGAAACAAATGGTTACATATCAAACAAAATCATAAAACGCTTTCTTGAGACTAAACATAATTAACAGATTAACATCTTGTTTAAAGAAGCTGGTCTCATCCAAGGTTCTTTCCAGCGTTTTCAGCCAGGTGTGGTTGAGATCCCTCTTTCATGAAGCAAACTCATTGTCCATTTGCTTCCATAGTGAAGGATGCTAGGGTGTCTTCTTTGTCCCCCAAATTATTAGAGCAGCCCTTTGGTGTGTGGGTCAGAATAGGGTTGTCTCCCCGGCTCTCCCGCTGCTTGCTTCCTCCTGTTACTTTTGTCTTTTGAATTTTTCACAATCCTTCATTAGCATTCAGTTTAGACTGGTGAGAAGAGGCCCTTTTGTTTATATGTAAATTAAGCACTGTATAGTTCAGACCGCTAGATAACAATTTCTCTTCTGACAGAACCTGTATTTCATCTTTGCTGGTGATCAGTTCCTAAATACAGACCTTAACATAATTTTGTGTGTGTGTGCCACACACACAGATATGTAACTCCTTAACAACACCCATATATGTCTAGAATGTATATTCCGGACCCAGGAGGTCCCTGTAACATCTAGGCACCCCTCTGTGTCCTTTTCTAGTTGGCACTAAGAGGTTCCTGGGTCATACATGACCAATGCATACCATAGTGTTGTCATTTTATGGAATGCTCTGGTGAGAGCACAGATCCATACCAATGAAGTACCAGCCTATCACATAAATGTGGACAAGTACTAACAGCAGAATATCTTTGGAGCATCAGTGCTAACATGACTTTTCTTGTGTCAGGCCTAAAAAATCTTACATAGGTGCTCTTTTTTTGAGTCTTTTTATCTCCTCCTTGAATCCATTCAGTTTCCATGCGCAAACTAGAGGTGATGAGGGTGGCAGAAATTTGTAAATTATACACAGTGATATTGTTTCTCTGGCAGATTTGATGATACTTTTATCTTTTGCTCATCTTCCAATGTTCTAACACAATCCAAAGTGTTTCCCAATTAACCAATAATGACTAGTTTCTCTATGCTGAGTTTGCCAACAGTTTTCAGCAAGTAGTCTGAAGCAAACAGATCATGGTTTTGTGCTGTAATTCTCTCATGCTCAAAAATAGTTACTTTTGGCCACAAGGAAAGTTTTAAATCAGCCCCTGCCCCCTGGACATCCCCAATACTTAACAAAAAACCCTAACAAGCTGGCATCATGTGCTACTTACATATATTGGGATTTCACACTGTCCAAAATTAAACTGGGATTGCACTCTAGTTGGAGGAGACAGATATTTTGTTTTAAGACCAGGGTGGGCAAACCTTTTGGCCTGAGGTCCACATCGGCGTTCCGAAACTGTATGGAGGGCCGGGTAGGGAAGGCTGTGCCTCCTGAAACAGCCTGGCCCTTACCCCCCTCCCACTTTCCACCCCCTGACTGTCCCCCTCAGAACACCCGACCCATCCCAACCCCTCCTGCTCCTTCGTCCCCTGACACCCCCCCGG